TTAAATAAAATTTAGTCATTTTAAAAGCAAAAAAAGGTCACGTTAATAAAACAAAAAATGCTGCCTTTAAAAACAAACTCTAAACTGTAGAAACAATTTAATATGCTCACTAATCAACTGTCATGTCTCCTAAATTTGCAGCACATTTTCAGTTGCTGAACAAGAATTTTCCATCCGTTTTTTTTTTTAAGGAACTGCCTCTAATTTTACAATACATTTACAACAAAAGAAGTCCCCATGAAACATATTTTATCATCTTTGAGTGGCAGCTAACTATAGGTTTCAGTTCTTTTTTAACCTAAAAAATCAGTAATGAATAATTACAATAAAAAAATAGTACCAATGACTAATTATACTTACTAATAAGGATAGGAAAGTTACTTTAAAATTACTTTTAATATTAACCTACAATTAGTTAACACTATATTGTTCTCTACCAGCTAAAATATTACTTTAATTCTCAATACTAAGTATCCATGAACCACAAATGTTTTATTTAAGGTATATTATAAACACTATTTTTGTACAACAAAAATTATGCTTTATGAAGTTCAAAACAAAATGCCTCTTGGTTAGTGTCAATTTAAGTCCGAGCCTGAGAAAAGGAAAAACCTGATTAGGTATTTACTACAAAACTCTTCCTTTACATGACTGCTTATTTCTCCATAAAGCAAAAATAATGCTGATTTTTCTAAGAGAGACTATAGAGAAGATATAGAAGCCACTAACTCTACTTTTCTTGTTCTGTGGTATAAAATACTTGAGATCCTTATGAAAATTATCCTAGGCTATAAGGTACCCAAGAAAACAAACTATAGTGATGGGGAAGAGTCTAAGCTTTGCTAAACATGGGGTTTCCCATCCACCTCTCCCCCCAAACTTTTCCCATAAAAGCAACCTCTACTAATAAAACAAAGCATCCTTTATCAAGTAGCTCCCTACAGATCCTCTCTCTCCTTGAGTGCTTACCACAATCTGATTTCTGGACAGCTGACCCAAAGTTTGATGATTTTACTGATCTTCAGAAAGCCACTGACTGGCTAAAGTCTTATTGGTGAACAGAGTCAAAAATCAGATGCCCCTGCCATACTTTACAGAATGAGGAGTTGGACAGCACAGTTACGTTTGGCTGCACTGTGGTGAAACATATGAGGCATCTTCTTTTTGTCTTCAATTAGCCACGTTTGGGCTGAGTAGCTCTATTACATCTTCAAAAAACTGAGCTCCAGTTCTTGATGGAGATAGAGGAAGGTCATTGAGGAGGTGGTTCAGCTCAAGAGCTAAGTGAAAAATCTGTCTTTTGATTCAGTCCTGCTTGTGGATAGAAGTCATCTTCTGGATGGAAGAGGGAGTGAGATGACCTAGAGTCTTGAATTGGTGGATCTGCAGGAACAGAAACTAAATACAGTGGAGACCTCTTAACTGAGTAACACCACGAGATGGATTTCCTGACAATGTGTCAATATAAGCTAAATATAAAAAATAAATATGTGCATTGGAACTGATCATGCACTTGCTTTTTGAGATATCAAATGCATTTGCACCATTCTAGGAATAAATACGTTTTCCCAATAACTAACTGTGAAACAGTTTATGGAAAAACAACCAATTTAAAGGGGGGGAAAAGACCCAAACAAAAATCCATACACTATGCCTCTGTAAATGCCATACCCTCACTTTAAAAACTCAGTTCTTTTGAAGGACTTTATCTCTCCATCTACACAAACTGTAATCTCTCTTTCCACATATTATCAGTAGTAACATGTACCAAATTTTAATTTGGAGTTGAATCTTTTGGGTTTTTATAATCTCCCAGAGAAATGGAATTCAAATACACTCAAAATACTAAATTGAGGCTTGAATAATGTACCTGCTCAAAAATTCTGAGACTTGCATTAAGTAAGTTGAGTCCTACTTATCAATCAAAAGGAGAGTATATACCATGGAGTCTCAATTGTGAATTGTGGTCACCTTAAATTTCCCTCAAACTTTCATCTGAAAAAAACTAAGAAAGCCCACAGCCAGATTATAGTGGATCTAGTTTTAAATTTCTCTATACATTAACAAGAATTTTGATGAACATTTAATTACTTACTTCCACTTAGAATGTGATTATGTAAATTTACTGTATATACTCTCATAATTCTTATACCAAGGGTCAGCAAACTATGGTTTATGGGCCAAATACAAATGTCATTTATTTTTGTACATAAAGTTTTACTGGGACAAAGCCATGTTTATTTGATTACATTCTTACTGTCTATGACTAGTTTCATGCTGCAATGGTAAAAAAAATATTTGGAACAGAGACTGCAGAACCTAAAATATTAAAAACTGACCCTTTTCAGGAAAAAGTTTGCCAACCCCTGATACAGATGATTATTAAAACATACGTAAAACAACTTACACTTTAAATTGTGTTGAAAGAAAGAAAAATAACAAGTAAAATTAAAATTAGATATAGGTCAACCATAACAAACTTACCACAAAAAGAAACCAAAAGTAAAATAAGTCCCAAGAGGACACTTTATCTGGCGTTAATTCAGATGAAGAATCTGATCCTATTTTAACATTACCATTTTTTTAAAGTATATACATAAATGCTATGGAACTGACATACTCAAGAGTATACATATAAATGCCATGGAACTGTTCACTCAAAAATGGTTCATGTGAATTTCACCTCAATAAATTATTTTTTAAGAGTATATACAGTATTTTACAGGTTTCTAACCTTTAAGTGGGCCACATTATATTGCAGTGGTTAAACATGTAAGTTACATCTTACCTAATAATGTGGTTTCTCCAAAATCTCTTAGATCATCTCAGACCCTTGTGTATATTTCTTCTTTGCCAGTAGATGGAGACAACACCACTGAAAGTTTAAAAGACATCATTCCCTGTTTAAAGGGAGCTTGCTGGTCTGAAAACTGGGGGAACCCTAACCCAAGATTTCTTCAAAGTTATTTTTTAAAAAGCAAACAGAATGGCTATGCCAAAACCAGAAATCCAAAGGAATGTACCCAATATTAACTATGGACATCCTCAAAAATTTACTAAAGGGGGACTAAACTCTGTTCATGATGTAGTAACTAGTTAAATCATAATATTAAAATGCAATCATCCCTGTAACTTGTAAGATTCAAACTTCCTGCTCACTGCTCCTAATTTAGGCTAGATCATTTATTTTTCAGCTTCAGAAAGTTTAACTCAGAATATAAAAGAAAAAGAGTTCTTTGAATTACACAAAGGTAGATGCAGTACATACATAGTTTTTCTAAGTATTAGTCATATGCACCGCTAGAAGCCTTTTATTCAAAATAAGACAACTATCCAGATCCACATAAAAATGATAAGAACTTTATAAACAAGAAGAGAATTAAAGCAGAAATGGTGGAAGCAGCAAGAAAAAAATTCAACCTTACGGCCACAATGAAAAGAAATGCTCATGAAAGGAAAGAATCAAACTCATCCAATTTCCAAGTTTATTTCACTATTAAAAATGACATAAACAGACCAAAACTATCCACAAGAAATAAATTTCAAATCAGAAAGCTTAAGAAGTCATCCCCAAATAATTATTTAATATTTTTCAAATAACAACTTTCCTTTCCAAATTCAAAGCCTGAATGCAATTTTGAACAAAAAAATAAGGTTATCAAGCTAAAAAGAGAAAACAATTAAGATACTGCTATACTTCTTATATTTGCCAGAAGACTCCTGTCCTTGCATGAACTAAACAAGAACAACCTATCTGGCAGAAAATGTCTTATTGAGAAAAAAGATTACCTTAAACCAAATAATATCCAGTTAAAAACGAATACAAAAATCTTAAAACCCATTATATTTATGTATAGTTTGCTCATTCTCTGATCAAAAATCACAGCTAAAATCAGGTTCCATAGAAGGGAAATGAATACAGTACTCAGATATCAGCATACTTACAATGGCTAACTAGGTTAAATTAGAACTGACATAAGTGCTAAAGTAAATCCTCTTACGACTCATTACGAGATGAAGTAGATAAAGTAAATCCTGAACCACAAACTTCTATTTAACTCTGAAATGTTATGATTCCCAAAAGACAGTAACTATCATGTGCCAATAAAACTATACCCACATTCTAACTGCCTATTAAGAGCACATAAACAACCATAAACACCTTTTCATCATCCACTCGGCAAATGTTCTGTGGCTTTATTTAATCTTTGGGTTGGGTTCCTCTTGACAAAGAACAAACTGTTTGACCCCTTCCCAAACCTTCAACAGCTAGTATGGATGAAGGTAATGATAATTAAATGACAACTGCCACCACAGAAAGGCACTTTGGAATTTTCAAAGTGTATTCATATACATTAACTAATTCAAATTTTATGAAAGGAAAATCTCAAACATAAAGTAAAAGCTATGGCCAACAACGTAATTCACAATGAAATGTAAATGATATTTGTATTTTGCACAATCACCTGTCAACATAGATAAGGGAGAAATGCTTTTACCCAGCTTTGTAAAGCAATAACTGGAAATGTCCTGAAATTCTGTGATTAACATAAAGTAGATATACCCAACTACAATCTACAGAACATAATACTACAAAAGGAAATAAAATTGACCAACAAGGAATGAGCTTTCTTTATACTAACTGGATTTTGGGGAAAAATAAAACACACACAAAAAACAAAACACCAGGTGTTAACCTGGCAAGTTCTTCTTGGGGATCTATGATGTCAGTGCTTCTGCCTCCACCTGCTGGCAAACATTATTATGAAACTAGCAGAGATCAATGGGTTAAAAAATGTTCACATTTTGGGTAACATTTAATGTTTTATGTAATTATTTAGCATGATGCTACTTTGTGTTAATAAATCAGTAATATATTGATGAAACTCATTAGGAAAAAACATTAAGTTTTACACACACAAATAAAATTACAAAAGATTTCTTAGTTCAGAGCATTATCTAACAGGCCAAAAATCAAGTTAAAAATTTTTTTAAATTACCTGATAAATGACATCTTGGAAAAGGACTGGAAAAGTAAGTGCTGCATCTTCTAGCTCATTTAGACTACAGTGTACTAGTGTTTCATCCTTAAAATAAAAAACACATATTGAATAAACCAAGATACTAAAAGAAATTTCAAGTGATAATTTTATGTATCCATGATCACCAAAAACATTTATTAAAGTACTCATTCATATGTGTGATTTTATATTTATCATACATTGTTGTGTGTGGCACAGCAATTTGGGATAGAATTTTCTAAGCCACTGGTCCTCAGGTATGGTCCCTGGACCAGCAAGAAGTATCAGCATCTTCTGGGTTAGAAAGGCAAGTAACTAACTAGTTAGAAATGTAAATTCTCCAGCTCCACTTGTGATAATACAAAAACTCAGAAGGGGGTGAAGAAGAGAGGAGCTCAGCAATCTACATTTTAATAAACTCTTTAGGTGATTACAATGTATGCTCAAGTCTGAGAACCACTGCTCTGAGGTTTGCACTTGCCAACTTTCTGGTAAGTATAATAAATATATACTCCTTTTATTTAACAATTAACAAATGTAAGTTTAGAATCTAATTATTTTTAAAATTACATATATTCTATTCACATAGCTCCTTATCCTTAAATCATTTATAAAGACTTTTATTTTATAAAATGGAAGTCTTAGTATCTGTTGAATATGTTTCAGACACGAACATTATTTAACTAAATTAGCAGTCAATGAAGACTTGTCATCTTTGATCACCAAACCCTGTTTTCTCATTAAGAAGATAAGAAAGTGAGGATCATTCCATCTAAGAGACGTGCAAATATTTTTATTTCTTAAATACTGAATAAAAAAACAGGAGTTCTATTTGTAGTTAAGTGACAAAATGCTTTCTTCTAAAAAGCTGCCAATGACTACCCCCAAAATTTTTCAATGCATTTAAAATGAATTAAAATGAAACACAAATGTTCATACCTTGTGATTCCACATCTTATTAGCTGGAGTGTTTCTTTTAACCTAAAGTTAACTCTGGGGAGGCAAAGAGCAAAAAATACTCTAGATATGCCTCATTTTCTTTTAATAGCATATCAGACTACACATTTCAAGGTACTGTCTTACCATCTTAAAAAAAAAGGTATCCTCTTTCCTACAAATGAGTAACTAATTCTACTACTTCATTTACATACTAAATTTTGATCATTCTTCTTCATTTACTTCTATAAAATTATTCATCTATGCTCAGCCAATTCCTATCTTTCCCTCTCTATTTACCTTTACACTGGATTCAAAATTACACGGTCAAACTTGCTATGATGACTACATCAACTCCTAACATAAAAATCTAGCAAACTCTTTTTTCAGTTTTTCCACTAACTTGCACATCACATCTAAACTACTCATAATCAGTTTCAAAATTTTTCTCTTTCTACTTATCCTCTAATAAATACCTTAATAGTTAGGACCTTTGGATATCTCTCTTACACCTCTTTCACTAGGCAAAGGCTAAGGTGCTGAACTCTCAAAAAAGAACATGCTAGTTAAGATTTAAAATAATAATCTTTTTGTCAAGAAAAAAGTTTATGAGAAGTAAACTATATCTCCAATTATAGGATATGAGTAACAAAGGCTAAATAATAAAATGTTTCCAGTATTATGTAAGAGGTAGATGTTCAGCTTTCAAAGCTCTTCTGGTAATCCTAAAACATAAATTTCTAACACACGAAGAGAACATATCAAAAGGTTTTAATAGCAGTAAGAGCTCATGCTTTGGGGAGTCAATTAATAGAGTTATTGGAATTAGACAATACACAAAAATAAGATCAGGAGAAGAACTATTATCTTGCATAACGTTAACTCACTGGGGACCCAGATAATATTTGGTTCTTCAGGGAAACATAATCCTAACCACCATCACCCCCCCCCAAAAAGGTGAAATCTAAGCATGAAATCAAATTAGAATTTATTGTTAAATTTTTAAAAATATATCCCAATGGTCTCAGAAATATGAGGGAAAGGACTAATTTAAGTACAAAAATGAAAGCCTAATTTATTTCAAAGAGTACCTGATACCAACCGTGGATCCTGGCATTAGACTATACTTCGAATTAAAACATTTCAGAACATCTTGGACATGTTTAGTAAATGTGTAAGCCTATTCATTTAATTGTATCCTTTTAGGCATTTTTAGCTAGTATTTTAAAAAATAAATTTAACTTACTTTCTCTACCTCTATAGATAATATACTTACCAGGTCTAAAACTAGGGAGAATTCTGGTGTGCTTCTTGTTTTCAGTGGAAGAGCAGGTTTCCTATTTAGTTGTTCTTCTGTCAGTGGTGGAACATGTTTGATGAAATAATACCTATAAATCAAATTTTTAAAAAATATCAACATTTCTACTTTTTATAAATACAAAACATATTACTAAATTCAGCTCATAAATTATTAATTAAATAATATGCATTTAACCTAGTAAACCAAACCTATGAAACATAAATAAAACCAAAAAAATACAAATTAGTATTTTAGTAACCCAGTAAAATTAATACCTACAGGTCACATGTTCTTTGCAATATACCACTGAGCCACCCTTCCACACACATACTTTCACTCTGCTCCAAGAGAGAAAGGAAAATAAAAGACAAAAACACAACACAAGACAACACAACACAACACAACAAAACAAAACTCACGGGTCAAATACTTCCCAGTCTTCTTCATAGGTGGCCTCTGCATGAGCTGATGAATAACCACTATCTGGAGTTACTGGTGCTATTTAATAAAATGAAAAACAAAATGTTAGTTTTAACTCAGCATGAGTATACATTTTTACTGATTTTATATAAGATTTTTCTGATGCCTTGTGTATTTTAAAGATACAATAGAAAAAACTTGTAAACAGTATTTCAAAGCAAATTTATTAATACATAAATCTAACTCCAGAAGCAAAGGAAAAAACTGCCATTACGGATAAAATGGCATGCTAGATCATGGCTAGTAGAATTAAAATCCCTAATAGCAAGGAAAAACTTTACTACTTATTGCCAGAAAAATACACTCAACAAAACTTCAGTTTCTAACTGGATAGTGTGTCTCTCTCTTTCTCTCCCTCCCTCCCTCTCTTTCTCTCTCTATGTAAATAAAACCATAAAAACTTCATGGGGCTCTTGCAGCAGTAACATTTTTTAATGTTACTGATCACTGAAAAATGATCAATGAAAAATCAATATATATGTGTGCTGACAATAGACCCAAAGGTAGTTTTTAACCTGAGATCTATGAACATTAAGAGGTTCACCCCCTTGTGGACTTACGTTGTATGTACATTCTTCTAGGAACCTCAAGGCTATCTAAAATCTTTTTAAAAAGTTAAGAAATGATGCTCTAGGGGTACCTGGGTGGCTCAGTTGGTTAAGCAGCCGACTTTGGCTTGGGCCATGATCTCATAGTCTGTGAGTTCAAGCCCTGTGTCGGGCTCTGTGCTGACAGCTCAGAGCCTGGGGCCTACTTCACATTCTGTGTCTCCCTCTCTCTCTGACCCCCCCTTGCTCACACTCTCTTTCTGTCTCTCAAAAATGAATAAAAATGTTAAAAAATTTAAAAAATAAAACAAATGCTGATCTATATAAAAACCATTGATTTAGAGGAGGCTTTATTTTACTCTAATTTACAAGCAACCTAAAAATAATCACGAAGCAATTCTATATTCCATGACACGTGGTCCAGTATATGTTTATGCTAAGATTCTATTAAATGACAGAACTTTAGAAATTATACTGGAAGAGGCACCTATCTTGCTTAGTCAGAAGAATGTATGACTCTTGATCTCAGACTTGAGTTCGAGATCCACACTGGGTGTAAAGATTACTTAAATAAATAAAAAACTTTAGAGTGGAGCCCTCATCAATGGGATCAGTGCCCTTATAAAAGAGACTCCAGGGGCACCTAGGTAGCCCAACTGGTTAAGCATCCAACTTGGGCTCAGGTCATGATCTTGCGGTTTGTGAATTCAAGCTCCATATCAGCCTCTCTGCTGCCAGTGTGGAGCCCACTTTGGATCCTTTGTCTCCCTCCATCCCTCTCTCCCCCCCCTTCCCAAAAACAAACAAACAAACAATGGGGTGCCTGGGTGGCCCAGTCGGTTAAGCATCCGACTTTGGCTCAGGTCATGATCTTGTGGTTCATAAGTTCAATCCCTGCATTAGCCTTTATACAGACAGCTCAGAGCCTGGAGGTTACTTCGAATTCTGGGTCTCCCTCTCTCTGCCCTCCTCCACTCATGCTCTCTCTCTCTCTCTCTCAAATAAATAAATATTTAAAAAATCAAAAATTATTTAAAAATAAGTAAGTATTTAAAATAAACCCACAAAAACAAAAAACAAATAGATTCCAGAGAACTCACATAGCTTCTGCCATGTGAGGATGCATGAGAAGACAGTTGTCTATGAACCTGAAAGCAGGCCCTTAATCAGGTACTGAATCTGCTGGCACTTTGATCATGGATTTCCCAGCCTCCTAAACTGTGAGAAATAAACTTCTGCTGTGTATACACCACCTAGTCTATGGTAATTTGTTACAGTAAACCAAAAGGACTAAGATAGTGGAACACAGTAAAATTGCTATAATCTGTCTTTTGGAATGGAATATTGGTGGATAATAGTCTTTTAGGTCAAAACGAAATTGTTTTTGCTATTATTACATATTAATTTCTTACATATGAATTACCTTCTAACACTGTATGTTCAGTGAATAATGACCATCTGTCCATCTGTAATAATTTTATGCCAATGACCGTTGATTAGCATAATAAGGGTTAATGGAAGAATATAACTTCTAACCACTTCTGTTTCAAATTCCTATTAACTTCAGAGAAAGGGAGAAAGGAAGTAATATTTGAGGGCCTTCATGCTAAGCATTTTTCTTTTTTCATCCCATTTAGCCTTTAGAACCATGAATTATTATTATTACCCCTTTAAAGCTAAGAAAAACTATCTCAAGTGAGCTTAAGTTGTCTAAAGTCACAAAGCTAAGTAAATGGTAGAGCCAGCCTCCTTCTGTCTTGTTCCCTCTGGCTCAGTTCTTGAAGTTAAGGAAAAGTAACAACCTTTGTCACTCATACTCATACTTTTAAGATCAGCAAAAATTTTACTTCTTTCCTGTCATGATACTCCCAGAGTAAATACAATGTGCCACCTCATCATTCTGCTCACTTATTTGTTATAGCACTCACCACACTGTACAGTAATTTTTGTGTATGCCTGGCTCATCAATTAGATCATGTACTCTTCAGGGTCAAGAAGCATTATCTTATTCATCTTTAAAAACAATGCCCATCACAAAAAAGAGATGTTCAACAAGTGTTAGGGGATTAAATGAATGTAACAGACAACAGGAGTATATTTTACTTTTCCCCTCTAGAAACCACTGTGGTTACAGAAATCCCTCCCCATCTTCATAGTTGTCAGAAAAAAAACAATAACAACAACAACAACAAATCCAGCAGCACAAAAATATAGAACAAACATCAAACAGGAAGCCCAAAGCCTTTGACTTAGTCTACACTTTAAAATTCACTAGCCTAAACATTGGCAAAGTAATAAGCATAAAATGACAGGTCAAGAGTAGGTTCATTTGGAAGTCTTAACCACCCAAGAATGAACTACATGCAGCATGTTGAATTGCTTGTCAGATTCAATATTATTCTTAAATTATAACATTATAATTTGACATTAGAGATATTAAGATTACAAACCTAATCTTTTTTTTTTTTTAATTTTTTAATGTTTTTCTTTATTTCTGAGAGAGAGAGACAGCGTGAACTGGGGAAGGTCAGAGAGAGAAGGAGACACAGAATCTGAAACAGGCTCCAGGCTCTGAGCTAGCTGTCAGCACAGAGCCCAACATGGGGCTTGAGCCCATGAACCGTGAGATCATGACCTGAGCCAAAGTCGGATACTTAACCGACTGAGCCACCCAGGCGCCCCATACAGAGCCTAATCTTTTATTTGAGTAAGTTAAAATAAATCTTTCCTATATTATGTTACTTTTCATATGTGACTGGGTTGCATATACAGAAGTTTCATAATTGTATGTATCTTTAAATGTTTTTAGCTGTACTGATTATAGTTTTTAAAGTTTCCCCTTTATATTCAAGGGATGATTATTCTGCTTCCTTACACCAAACTACATTTCTGAACCAATACATATGTGCTAGGGTCTCTCAAATGCCTGGCATTATAAGAAACAAATCTAGGGTGCCTGGGTAGCTGTTGGTTAAGGGTTTGACTCCTTGATTTCAGCTTCACAATCTCATGGTTTGTGAGATCGAGCCACACGTCTGGCTCTACGCATCCTTCTTGGGATTCTCCCCCATCCCGCCACACAAATATTTCTCTCTCTCAAAATAAAAAAGTAAACATGAAAAAATTTTTTTTAAAAATCTAAAACAAAAGCCCAAGATCTTGGCCCTCTAAGATGACCTTCCTCAATTTTATATCTGCTTTTAAGTATGATGGAACAGTTTCATTTTTTAGCTTTATGCATCTGTATACCACAATATCAGATGTAATAAATTCTGATCTCGTGTGTTCTACATTTCCAGGACAACTGGCTCAGGGACCAAACAATTATGTTAGGCCTTTATCAGGATCCAGAATTAGGCTGCAAAGTCTGGATATAGGGTAACATCTAGAAACAGAAGCTTCTTTAGGGGGGATGTCATCTATACATGTAACAAATCTGAAGGTATAACGCTGCCATTAGGTAGGGACTTCAGACCTAAGGGTCTGAGACTAGGTGCAATTACAATAAATATACTCATAAACGAGAGTATATATTTTACCATTTGCGTTCAATTTCTCTAACTAGTAAGATTAGTACAAATAATTAAACTGTGAAATGACTAATGCTCAATCAAAAGAATCTTCTAAAAAATTTCAATTTCAAACTGACCGAATTTCTGGGAGAGTTTTATTTTCAATTTTAACTGTCTTACATTCAAGGACAAAAAACATGCATTTGACCTATTAAAGAAAAATAAATACTGTATTTTTATAAATTCATGAAGATGCATAAGAAAAGGAATTTTCTTCACCTGTAAGGGGTGGGATATCACGATTAACTGTTTCTTCTGCTTCTTCTAAACCATTATTTATCGATGGCCTGACTTGAACTGCTTGGTTTGAGTAAGCTGCTCCATTAGTTGATGTTGTGGTACTGGTAGTGATCTCATCCACCTGTTCCATATCAAGTTGTTTTACTATCTCTTCAGCTTCCACAGCCTGTCCTGGGGAATCGGATCCTGATGTTCCTATAATCAAGATTCAGTGTACTCACAACCAACATTTAAAAAAATCAAAAGGGGGTGGATGGATAGGATAGATGTTTTTAAGGATACCAACTTAAATAGCAAGCAAACATAAGCCCTAGAGACCTAATGCACAATAGAGTGAATACAGACAACAATATTGTATTATAATCATCACACTTGCTGAGAGACTAGAACTTAATTATTCTAATCACTAAAAAGAAAGACCAAGTATGTAATGTGATAAAGGTGCTAATTATTGCTACATGGCAATCATATTACAATATATAAATGTATCAAATCAACATATTATACCCTTAAATTTACATAATGTACATCAAATATATTTTAATAAAAGTTTTTGTTAAATGTTTATTTATTTCGAGAGAGAGAGTTTGTGAGCGAGCAGGGGAGGGGCAGAGAGAGAATCTGAAGCAGACTGCACTGTCAGCTCAGAGCCCCACATAGGGCCCGATCCCACAAACTGAGAGATCATAATGTGACCCCAAATCAAGAGCTAGTCGCTTAATTGAATGAGCCACCCAGGCGCCCCTCAAATACATTTTAATAGAAATAAAATTAAATATTGAAAAATAAACTCATAAAATATTTGGAAAAGAAAATGGAACAGACACAGAGCTGAGGATACCACTGTTTAGTGAGTTTCATCTACATATTTCAAATAATGAGGAATAAGGACTCTTATAAGCTAGAGTGCTACTGGTGAACAAAATTTTTAAGAGTGTTCAGTTTAGAAACATCCAGTTATAGTCAGTCATAATTTAGAACTTTAAAAAACTTTTGAGATATAATGGACATAAAACCTTGTATAAGTTTTAGGTGTACATGCTAATTTAACATTTATATATTGCATAATGATTACCAACCTACTATTAGCTAACACCTCTATTCTGCCACATCATTATCATTTTTTGTGGTGAGAAAATCTAAGATCTAGTCTCTTTGCAATTTCTAAGTATACAATGCAGTATTGTTGACTACAGAACTTTTCAATAAAGCAAATATTTAAGTGTCTACTATGAAGTAGGCATTGTGTGTGTGCGTGTGTGTATTTTTCACTATCCTCAAGTTAGTCCAGTACTAAGCATCCTAGCCACTGTGGACAGTTGTAATTTTTAAACCAGAGGTGGTTATGAAAGAATAAGCTTTTACCCTAACAATCAGAACATTTTTACTCAGAGACACAAGAACAATTTCCTAACAAGATTCCATCTCAGTAACAAAGGCAGAAGCTACTTTCCTAATCATATTCAGCCACAACTTAGATGATCCTGCTGCCCAATTCTTCTTCCATGATAAGAGGACCCTGTCAACTCTTTCTATTTCTTTATGGAATCCAATGTAAAAAATGTCATTTTTTACAACAAAATCAACCTCCCATACTCTCAACTTTCTCACACAACACTCCTTCTCCCTCACAGCTTTAAATGTAACTTATTTCCCAAAAAATATCTTTTCCTGATACCCTTCCCTTCAAAGCTCTTTATTCTTTCATATTCAACATACTAACTGAATCAGAATTCATTTACTCCACTGCTGCCACCAGATCATTGATTTTCCATTAATGTGCAAAAATCCCTGCTCCTTTGAGACTGATGTCCCCTAGCTATATAATTCTTCATTTATCCCCACTGCTGTAATCTACCAACTGTTGCTAGCATCCTCTCAATCAGAGGAATTTAACACCGAGCTGGCAGTTTAAAGCTCTATGAAACACCTGCTAGTTGTTACTACAGGCAACAGCAATGACTCATCCCTAAGACTAATCAAAGGTCTTGCCCTCTTCAGCTCCATCTTCATCCACACTGCTCTCTTTAGCAAGCACCAGGACCATAACCTGGACATTCACATTAAGAAACTGTTCATCTCTAAAAACTAAAGTTCAAATATATCAATCCCCTACCATAACTTTCTAATCTTTTAATTATCTATTTCATATTCCCATTACATGTGACCTTCATGTTTGATAAAGGCCAGTCTCTTTTGTCCCAAACAATCCCTTAACAGCCCCTTCCCCATCCTTCTCATCTAGATAGACTTCATGGTCTATCACTTAATCCACTCTCAAGCCAGCAACAGTGTTCTTGTTCCCTTGTCTTTCCACTGTCATCCATCATAGAAATTTCTCTTGAATCAATGAACTTAAAGGCTTACTGGAGTATGTATGCGTTTCTTTTAATTATAACCAACAACAAACATTCTAAAGCTTCACTGTTCTCTTCAGCTCCTGCCACCAGGAATCACAGCACATGGCACCACCTCCTCCTTCAAAGAAAAAGTAACTTATCAAAAATCAACTTCTTGGGGTACCTGGGGGGGCTCAGTTGGTTAGGCATCCAACTTTACCTCAGGTCATGATCTCACGGTCTGTGGGTTCAAGCCCCATGTCGGGCTCTGTGCTGACAGCTCAGAGCCTGGAGCCTGCTTCCGATTCTGCGTCTCCCTCTCTGACCCTCCCCTGCTCACACTGTTTCTCTCTCAGAAATGAATAAAACATTAAAAAAAATTTTTTTTAAATCAACTTTTGCCCAAACATTTATTTCTGCACACAACTCACAGTTTCTTTCCTTCAGCATTAGAGAAAAATATCTCTTTTCACTCCCTTCTCCATTCTAATCCTTCTACAACCTGTTCCCTTAATCCCATCCCTGTCGGCAGATTCCAGAAACTTTCTTCATTAGTTATTCTCCCTCTATTTTCAATCTCTTTCTATTAGATCCTTCCCTGAGGCTTAAAAACATACTTGTCTCTCACAAATAGAAACCACTCCTTGAGACTTTGTAACCTCTCTAGTTTTATAGTCAAGTAGTTCATAACAGTAACTTAGATTTGCTGCTTCCTTTCTTACTCTCTATTTTATACTTTTAGCCCAAAGGTATTAGGCTTCCAACTCCAGTCACTCTCCTGAAACTGTTCTGGCAAATGAAACCAATAACTTGGGGTACCTGGGTGGCTCAGTTGGTTAAGTGTCTAACTTTACCTCAGGTCATGATCTTGTGGTCCATGAGTTCAAGCCTTCCATCAGGCTCTGTGCTGACAGCTCAGAGCCTGGAGTCTGCCTCAAATTCTGTGTCTCCCCTCTCTTTCTGCCCTCCCCTGCTGACTCACTCACTCTCTCTCTCTCAAAAATAAATAAATAAATAAATATTTTTAAAAATTAGGAAAAGAAAAAGAAACCAAAAACTTTGCAATTGCCAGGTTCAGCAGTATCTTTTCAATACTCATTTCCTTTCCTTCAATCTTTATAACTGTTTGCCCCTGGGTTTTGATATTCTTTTCCTTTGGCTTCTATGACACACAATCTCCTGGCTTCTTGAATGTCTTTACTAGCTTTTTTACTTAGTCCAGTCCTTAATATTCCCTCAAGATCTTAGTTTGCTGAACATTATTCCATTAGTTTCAAATGATACTTATAAGCTGGTAATACAATAGTCTACTGCTTAAACAGATTTCTAAGCTCCACACCAGAAGGACAAATGACTACCAGATATTTTTATTTGGTTGTTTCATGGCATCTCACACCCAGCATGGCCCAAGGATCTCCTAGAACCTAACCTCTCTTGAAAAAATAACCTTGTGTCATCTTTTTTTTTTTTTTATATTTTTATTTATTTCTAGAAGAGAGAGAGAGAGACACAGCGTGAGCAGGGGAGGGTCAGAGAGAGAGGGAGTCACAGACTGAAACAGACTCCAGGCTCTGAGCTGGCAGTCACCACAGAGCCCGACGCGGGGCTCGAACCCACGAACCGCGATATCACGACCCAAGTGAAAGTCGGACGCTTAACCGACTAAGCCACCCAGGTGCCCCAACCTTGTGTCATCTTAATCTCTGGTCTCTTTCACCTCCAATCTGTGCTCAAAATTTGTCTATTCTGTATCTTTGATCCTTCTTCTTTTCTCTAATATCACAATTAAGGCTGCATGAAGTCTCAAGTGGACCACAAGTCTAATTGTTTTTCCCTGACCCAACCTTTTTAGAATGCAGCTGACACATTATGATTTTTGAAAACACAAATCTGTTCATATTACTCACGAGTTTAAAACCTTTTAGTCATCCCCCACTAAGGATGAAATTCAAATATCTTACCATGTTAGTTTTGATCTGTCATCCTTATAACTATCTTAACCATTCTGTGCACTCCTCAAATCCAATGCTCCATTTGTAACAAACTAATTTCAGTTTCTCAAACACTATGCCTTTGGTCATGCTGCTCATTCTACCTGGAATACCCTTTACCACCTTTCAAGATTCAGCTTTTCTATAAAGACTATTGTGAGATGCCACCCAGAATACAGAACCATTCCATTCTCTGAATACCATACTACCCCATACCTCTACAATGTACTTTTAAAATTTTATTATACTTATTTATAGATCTCTCTCCCTCTTATAAAAAAAAAAAAAGTAAGCTCCTTGAGCACTGGGACCATGCATGTGTTAAATATCCTTGAATCTCCAGAGACTAACACAATGGCCAGGACACAGCAAATACTCAAATGAATGACACGAAATCTTCAAATTGCCTCCGCCCCATATTTAAGAATAATTATCTTCTCTCACAGATAAAGAGGTTCAAGAATTTAAAGAATTGGACCAAGGTAATACAGCTAAAGAGGCAGAGCTGGGATTATTTTTTGACAGAGCAAGGGGCAGAGATAAGAGGAGGGAGACGGAGAAAGTGAGAAGTGATGCTCATTTTTACTGGCTCAAGCTCACCCCAAGTGGGATATATGCTCACCCAAAGTGGGGTACAAGCTCTTGAACTGTGAGATCATGACCTGAACTGAAGTCAGATGCTTAATGACTGAGCCACCCAGGCACCCAGCAGAGCTGAAATTTTAAGACAAGTTTCTCTAATTCCAAAGCCTATTCTTTTTCCACTACACCAGCTATTTCCAAAGATGGTCTATGGGGCACTAGTTTTACAAGATGTTAACAGATGTTCCACCGGAAAGGGTTCTTCGGATCATATATGTCTAGGAAATATGGGGTTAAACAAAATTAAAGGTAATTTTTTGTTTTATTTCTACTATAGGACTTCATAGTCCTTTTAAATGTGCTAACACGCATGATTTTCACCCCCCAGAGCATCTAGATTTTATAGTGCACCATTCTGCCTTTAAAAACTCGTATTGTCATCCAGAAACATATTCAAATTAGAATTTAAATAATCAAGCAACAAGCATTTAATGGCTATTTTCCATGTGCTTCACACTATCAAACAAGATGGTAGATACAAAAATAAAGACAAGATCTCCTGCCCAACATCGTCTAGAGACTAAATTATCATTTATGAAGTTAAAGTTTAACAAAAAAGATAGAACGCTAGCTAAATCTTTTTTAAAAATATGCCAGGGGTGCCTGGGTGGCTCAGTCCATTAAGTATCTGATTCTTGATCTCAGGGTCATGAGTTCAAGCCTCCTGCATTAGGCTTAGCGCTGGGTGTGGAGCCTAAAAAAAAATGCTGATCAACAATCCAAATTTCTTTTGCAAAGGCATTATTACATAAAATGAAAAACTTCAATTCATTTGAATTAGAGTAGTTTTACTAAATATTCAAATTAATGATCCCTATGGGGAAAAAATCAAGAAAATGAAAAATAAAAATAAAATGTGTTACAAAAAACGACCTGCTTTCAGCTCACTTAAAATATTCCACAAATTCTACTTTACTGATCTAGAATATTGGAAATGTTTCAGGATTCTCTCTTGTACACACTAAGTATCATAAAAGTCATTCCAACATAAAAGAAGTAATTTTCCTTCCAGCCCAGTTTATCATCTAGATTTTCAGAGAGTTAAAGTGGAGATCATGCACTTCAACAGAGTTAAACATAACCTAAATTTATTTCAGTCAGTTAAAAAAAAAAAAAAAAAAGAAAAAAAAGTCTTTTAGGAGCTGCGTATTTTTAATCAGGCTGAAAACAAACATAAGATGCTGACAAAATACACCAGTAAAATCAAAAAGCTCTCTTGAAAAACCAGGAAAACTAATTTTTAAACCCAAATTATGGGTAACACTTTATACTTACCATTTTTATTTGCTGGTGAAAAAAAGTTGAAGACAGGAGAAAATATGGTCCCCAACAATGTAGTCCTTGGAGGACTGCCAGAGGAAGGATTATCTTCTAATTTTCCATTTTGTTTTACATGTTGATTTGTCATTTCGTAACTACCAGCTTCTAAGAAAAAACAAAAACAAGAAAAAAAGTTGCAATCTAGAAAATATATGACTGTGAAAAATGTGTTTTAAACAGTCCACTATGAAAATATTTTTCCCTTAAAATACTTCACAAAAACTGAATCTTTTAGTATATAGACTATAGGCTTCCACAGTGTAACAGAAAATGAAATAAACTTTTTGTAAGTAAAGCAAGTTATAACATCAAACACACAAATGAAAGATTGTATCTTTCATTTACATTTTGGGATGCTGCCTACTTCATAAAACCTACCCTCAAATCTATTACTAATGAATAACAGTTAAATAAATAGAGGCAACACAGATCTACTGAAGCAGAAAACTATGTATAACATACAGCAAAAATTACTTATGTATATACCCAGGCACCATTTCAGAGTGGTTAAGAAAAACAGGTCTTTGTCTTTTGTTTTTTTAGATTCTTAAGAATAAAATTTTTTTAATGATTTTTGGAAAATATACAATAAAAACAAATTCACACAAATGTGTTCTGATTTATCATCCTTGACCTTTCACAACTTTACTTGGTATCTACCCGTAATTCTTTCTTTGCTGCTATAGCTCTTTTGTTTCTTTTTCCCTGAAAGTCAATTCGAAAAACAGAGATACAATATTGAATTGAGGGGATAGAGAGAAGGTATTCTTGCCAATGTGTTTAAAACAGCATTGGCTAGAAAACAGCACCTCATGCTCTAAAGAGTTGTTCTTTATACGTTCCTCTACTTGTCCTTGTTTTACTCCTTTTGGACTTTGGTGAGCTTCTCAGCAGTACTACAACATACTGACCTAGAACAAGATTTATCAACTGCAGCACTACTGACTGGAGTCTGGACAATTCTTTATTGTGGGAGGATGCCTTGTGCACTGTAGGATGTTTAGCAGCATCCCTAACCTCTACCTGCTAGATGTGAGTAGCAATCCCTCTATAGGTTGTGATAACCAAAAAGGTCTCCAGGTATTAACATATGTCCCCTAGGGACAAAACAACCCCTTGTTAAGAGTCACTGTCCTGAGTGATACAAGACCCCTCTGAGCTGAAATTCCAAGTTCCAGAAACAAATTCTTTGTAATTATTTCAATAAATTAAGTCACAAATTATTACTGCTTTAAGAAATGAGTTTAATAAAGGTTAAAAAAATGTGTTCCATATACATTTTCATAATAGTATAAAGCCAGTTGTTCTGCCTTTACTTGTCATTTTAATTCATATCAGGTAATTTTTATTTCATTTCATGAAAATACTTAAAACAAAGGAGATTACAAAAATAAGGCAAAAACTACACAAAGTCGATCTTTAAAAACAGAAAAGAAACATGTCAGGTGAAATTTCTGCTTACACCTAATAGAAGAATATCTAAATCATAACAAACCTCCATTTACTTGACTTTTCCGTCTTACTCGAGATATCTGTTTGTTAGGCTTTTCTCCTGCTCTTGGTGTTGATGTGATCAAATTATTATCTATATCACGTTCAATCCTACTCCGTTTCGAAGGATTTTCTCTCTCTTCCTTAAGATATGAGGGGGGAAAAAACATGCATTGAGCATAGGCATTCTGCCTTATAGGTCACACTTATAAAATATGATATGTACTTCCCTGTTCATTGCAGCTTAATTTACAATAGCCAACAGAAACAACTTAAGTGTCCACCTGTTGATGACTGGATAAAGAACACATGGTGTGTGTATGTATATACACACACACACATATATATATATATATATATATATATATCTCAAATTATGCTATACACTGAAACTAATGTTTATCAGTTATATCTCAATTTTTAAAAAAGACACAATATGTGTAAGATATTTTCCTGCTTTTCACATCCAGTGGAAACGAAATAGGATTATATAGTATCCAACAGCGGTTAAAAAAAAAAAGGAAAAATTTGACAATGTTATAAAAGTGTTTATTATTAATACACTTAAAATATACCAATATAATTACAGCAATCTCAATTCAGATCTTTTCCCCAATGTCCACTAAACTGTCTGTGCTATTGAAACACTCAATTGTAAGATGTGCTATGAATTTTCAGTAATTATCCCCTACTCTTATATTTGTCGAAAAGAACAGTGGTTGTTTCCGTGAGCACTCAGGGTAAGAGACAGAACCCCACTGGAATATGCTGGCATATCACATATTACCAAAAACAAGGCTTACCAATGGCCACACCCAGTGCCAACCTCAATTCTTTAAATAACCAAATTAACACTAAGGAGTTTACTCCATAATAAAGCTCTCTATTCATTTCCTTACATGGGGCAAATCTACATCACCAGTTTACACTGTTTTTGCAATATTATTGACTGAAAGAGTATACTCCAAGTAATAACTGGTTTGTCTTCACTTGTACATCTATCTTTCTCCTTTGTAAAATTTTTCTAGAGTCATCAACCACGAGTGATTTTCTTACATTATTCTAATACTGGCCTATAATTCCTTGCTGTGTTTTTTATTTTTTAGTAACCTCAATCTCTACATCCAACATGGGGCTCAAACTCAAAACCTCGAGATCAAGTGTCACATACTCTACCGACTAAGCCAGCCAGGTGCCCCAATTTCTTGCTGCTTTAATGAGACTTCCTGAAATCTTTTGGTAAGGATGAGATTAGATTTTTAAACCTATATTAAATATAATTTATATATATAATCAACATTCTTATTCAACAACTCAGCAATCGTAAATGACTACATTTGGATGAAAACAGAACAAAGATATTGTCAAAATACATCAGTCCATATCATACCATATAGAATTTTACTTTTACTCAGTAGTTTGCTAATTTTAGGTAGCTCCATTACAACAGTATGTCTATTATAGCACAAAATAAACCTCAGTGATCTATGACAAAATTCTTATGTGTACTATTTATCATTCCCCTGCATTCTTAATAGATGAACAGGAAGCCTCATATCCCAAACGTGGGATCTCCATTGCCAGAAAACAGGACTCTCTTCATAATATCTTTCAAGAACAGAAAGAATACCACAAAGCCAACAAGACTAAGCTCCAGCATCTTCTTGATGAAGTCTCTTAGTACATCTGCTACAACATAAATACTTACATTCTGAAAACCCTGCATTCTGCAACACTAAAAATAACAAGGCTTAAGGAAAAAATAATTGGCCCAGGAGGGCAAGAGAGGGGGTACACAAGGCAGATCAGTCAATGCCCCGTTAACTCTGTAACCATAGCACCAAGAAAAACAATGACTGGGACACCTCCAGAGATAACTTGGGACACCCCAGTAAGGCAGCTAACAGCGGCTGAAATGCTACCTCGGGGCTTAATAAAAGCTAATAAAAACAGAAAAGGAGAAACAAGGGCTTATGGGAGCTGGGAAGTGGAGCTTTAAACCAGTAGGGCTAAGATGGACACAAAAGGAAATGCAAACTGCCACATGAGAAAAGTCTCTGCTAGATCAGAATGTACCTCTCTAGGAGGCAACCTCCCCACTGCTAATTATCACTTCTAATTAAAAACTCTTGGGAGTCTGTGTGTGGGGCTTTGTTTCTGTAGCAGCTGAATTGAAAGATTTTTACGTTCCTGATGAAATATAAAATTCAACTCCCATTATTCAGGATCCCCTTGTTCAGTTTAGGAAAAAGTCCTGTACAAAGCAATGCACCACCCATGTTATACTGACACTATTTCCCTATTTACCAATAGTCTATAAGCTAGCTGATATTGTGGAACCACATATTACTGTAGCAGAAGAGACAATACCGTGGTCAATTAAAAATATATATAATATTTTTACATACATAAAGTATATAAATTCATACAGAAAGTAAAAATATTTTAGCTTACATCTCTAAGGAGGAAGACGAAGCTATTTTTTTTTTTAAGTTTACTTATTTTGAGAGAGACAGAGACAGTGTGAGTGGGAGCGGGGCAAAGACAGAGGGAGACCAAGAATCTCCATAGTGCCAGAGTGGAGCCTGATGCTGGGCTCGAACCCATGAAACCATGAGATATGACCTGAGCCAATACCAAGCTTAACAGACACTTAACCAACTGAGTCACCCAGAGACCCCAGGAAGGTAGTATTCTTAAATCTCTGAATCCCAAGGGAAACACACAGAACTAAGGAGGCAACAAAAACTCAAGGGCAAAATAACAGCAAAAGCAAGGGGTCAAGTTATCTCCCTTAAATTCCAAGCAGATGAAGACAAACCGAAAGCCACCACACCTGAGTGCCCACATGCACTGGTGTAGAAGAAAGTAAAGGGATCAACAAGGTACATAATCCACATGAGAACAAGAGAAGCCCAAAACAGCTAAAAGGTCGGTATTCAATGGAAAGCACGGCAGGCCAATTTTAAGATGGGAGAAAAAGTTGCTGTCCAATCTAATACCAAAGGGGTCCACGGTGTGAATGAAACAACAGCTCCTATGACCTCTTGAAAGTCACCAACTATGGCTCTCTTCTAGTACAGGGCTCCATACTAAGGGGAAACTGCTGGGAATTCCTGAAGTCAAAATTGAGTAGCAAAGACACAAAAGAAAAGAAGGAAAGAGAAGTTTCAGATAAACATGAGGTAGGAATAAAGAGACAGGAAAACTCAAAAAGTAATCATTATATTTTTTAACACTACACAAAACAACAAAACTAGTTAGAAAAGATACCCTGTGGGGGTGCCTGGGTGGCCCAGTTGGTTAAGTATCTGAGTCTTGATTTTCCTTTAGGTCATGATCTCACAGTTGGCGAGACTGAGCCCCATGTAAGGTTCCATGCTGGACAGCACATACTTGGGATTCTTTCTTCCTTTCTCTCTGACCCTCCCCTGCTCATGTTTTCTCTCAAAAATAAATAAACTTTAGTAAATAAATATAATGTAAAGATAAAGAATGACATCAGTAAAACAAGCATTATAGACAAAAATTATAACCTATTTCAAAACAAAAGACTTACTAAGGGAGTTATATGAGACATACATCAAGAGTTAGAAAAATTCAAATCAGAGACAACAAAATAATTAGAAATAAAAGAAAAATATCAGACAGCATGAAAATGACCAACTTTTTTATCAAAGTGAAAATTAAAAACCTGGCATCATCCTGATTATTTCAGTCATACTGTGCCTATGTTATAGCAGTTCTGAGTTTCAGGATAAAAAAAGACATGGGCCTTGAACATCAGGAGTTTATGCCCTGAGATACAGAAGGATGCTTTATTGTAACACCAGAAATAAAGACTGGACTAGAACAGATATAAAAGTGAGTAAATAACAGATTACTTATTTTTAATTATTTTTTTTTATTAAGTAGCTCCACACCCACCATGGAACCCAACATGGGGCTCAAACTCAAAACCCTGAGATCAAGACCTGAGCTGAGATCAAGAGTCAGATGCTTAACCAACTGAGCTACCTAGTAACCCCTAAATTATGTCTTTTAAAAGAAATAGAAAAAGGGGCGCCTGGGTGGCTTAGTCGGTTAAGCGTCCGACTTTCGCTTAGGTCATGATCTCACTGTTCGTGGGTTCGAGCCCCGCGTCGGGCTCTGTGCTGACTGCCAGCTCAGAGCCTGGAGCCTATTTCAGAGTCTGTCACTCCCTCTCTCTCTGACCCTCCCCTGCTCACGCAGGGGAAATAAAAATATTAAAAAAAAAAATAAAAGAAATAGAAGATAAAATGGAGGGGGAAATTTTTAAAGACACCAAAATATTACAAATACTGAAGATAGACAAACAAGATCCAACAGACAGAAAACAGTAATCCCTGAAGGCAACCAAATCAAAACCATAGCAACAGAACAAATATCACAACGTTTTCCACAAAGAAAAGCTTTTAAATTACATATTGAAAGATATGTTTAACTGAAACTATCAACTGAGAAAAGCAAACAAAATAAACTTCATAAAATTTATGAAGTTTGGAGATCAAAGCAAAATCACTTCATTTATAACGGCAAAAAATTAGATTATCATTAAACTTCCAAAAGCAATGTTTTTATGTCAGAAGAAAATGCAATAACATTTAAAATAATCACAAAGAGAAAAGACTACCTGAGTATTTTATAGGCAGCAAAACTGATTTTTAAGCTTAAAGACTGTTATCAATGTGCAAGAATATTGTTCACATGAGTGCTTTCTGTGGCATCTACTAGAAAATGAGCTTGAGACAAACAAAAATAACTACAGACAATGATGTAAGAACTGAGGATAAGCATTAAACATATTGAACATATTTAGAACCTTCAGAACTAAGATAAATGAGGATTAAAAGAAAGTATGTAATGACTATAAGATCAGAATGTAGAGATATAAAACTATAAGAAAACTGATAAGAGATAAAGTTTTTTCTTTAATTACTCACTTTATAAAGTCATCCTGGAACAGAAAACTTAATAGAATTCATTCCCAGCTGATCTACATAAGAAATACTAAATTCTTTAGACATAAAAGTTCTTTAGGCATAAAATAAATAATACCAGATGGGATTCTAAACCTATAGTAAGGAAAGAACACCGCTAAGGCAAATTTATGAGGAAATAT